TGATCTTTGAGGTCCCTTCCAACCCAAACCCTTCTGTGATTCAGTACCTGAAGTTTGAATATGGTGGAGCCTGCTAACGATGAAGTTGTTTCTTGACACGGATCGGCTTACTGAACATAGTGCAGGAAAACTTGCACGATCCCATGTGTAGCCCTCAAATCGGAAATATTTTTAAGCCATCTGTGTCATATCTTAGTCTTTTTCTGCGATGGTAGAAATCTGGCAAAATACACTAAGGTCAATTTTATGTTTTCATTCTTTCATTTCGTCGTGTTGTAAGTGGGATTTTGATGCTGTCCTCATTTATTACAGGCATTTTGCTGTGGTTTTTTTCTGATTATTAATGAAAACATTCACCAGTTACAAGTCCTGCATTGGTTTCTCTTCTTTGCTCTTCAGGAATGATAGATTTCTGCATGAAAATATAGCTCAGTCCTTTATTAGCTTTGTTAAATTGCCACTGTTTCAGACAGCCTTTTCAGTGATATTTTCCCCTGCCCAGTTCCTTGACGTTTTCAGGCTGAAATTTTCTTTCTTTTTTTTTTGTTTTTTTTTAATGTCATTTCAAGATTTTTGGTTTTAATTGTGGTGGATTCTTTTGGTTTTTAAATTGGCTGTCGTCTTGTAACAGCTCTAAGGTTTCAGATGAAAACACTTGTAACCTGTGAAATTATCAAGGAATTCCGTGCCCAGGATCCCTCTTACTGGTTCGGTCAAAATCTATTTAGTAATTGGGTATTGTGAGCTACAACTTCATACGTGTGGTGTCGTTGTACAGGATTGCCTTTGTGTCGTATGTAGTTCAGATACCTGAAGAAATGAAGAAATTTGGCAGGTGCCAAGCAAGTTAAGCAGCAGAAACGTGACTAGAAGCAGAAGGAAGAGGAGTGGGATCTCCTTTTGGTGGCAGTGAGTGTTCAGGGGCAATTCCATGAGACTCGTTGAATGCATTTGCATCACCTCGGAGCAAAAATTTCTCATGTTCTTTTTTGGCCTCTGGGAAGGAAAGTTTCTCATGGTTGTCTGTGGACCAGAGAAGTGGTCCTGATAGGCCATCAAGTGGGTGCTCCTGTTGGGAAGTGATAGTTAAGTGCTTCAGTTTTTCTAAGTATCTTTTTCCTTCCCCCTACCTTTCCATAGGCTTGTCTTGTTGTTACCATGCAAAGGACAACTTAATGTGCCGGGATGTCTGTGAACAGGTAAGCTTGTTTTAAATTTGGTTTATCCCTCCGAGTTCAAATCATGCCTTTGGACAAGGACGTGGCAAGATTGGGGTTACAAGCAAATGATTTTCCGTGTCAATCATGAGGTGTAATATTGTTATTTAAATGAAGACTTAAAGGTCTTTCCTTTCGTAGTGGAAAATGTGTTCTGCTGAAGTTGAGGAGAAATAGAGATACAAATCTGAGGTTGGGATTTGTAGTGAGGTTGGAACTTGTAGATGGCCTATCCCTGGAAGTGTTCAAGGCCAGGTTGGATGAGGCTTTGGGCAACCTGGTGTAGTGGAGGGTGTCCCTGCCCATGGCAGGGGGGTTGGAACTGGATGATCTTTGAGGTCCCTTCCAACCCAAACCATTCTGTGATTCTATGATTGGTGAAGAAGTGATAAGCATCTTAGGAAGTGCGAGGGGTGAAGGTATCCTTCCCAATTTCTGGGTTATATGTTTTCAAGTTTTGGGGAATTTAAAATGAACATCAAGATGTTGGCACTGTTCTTTCTTCCTGACAGTTCTTGTTTCTTAGCTGAGCATCTGAGATACTCGTTATGATATATGGCTTTGTGAATCCGGCAAAAATCTGTTCACTTACTCTGTTCATAAGGTAATAATAAAGAGCTGTTTGTGCTAAATTCCAGCTTGGAAAATACTTTTCCACAACTTATGTTTAGATTTGTATCTTTGGATGGTATGAGGTACAGCTTTTTGTGTGTGTGTTTATGTAAATTTATATACATACAAATTTTACATCAGTAAAGCAAACATACACACATACACATTTTTTATGTTGAAATTGTGTCTTTACATCATACCTGCACCCTTTTCTTGTCTTCGTTGCCTGCTTTGGGGCTATTCAAGCATTAAACATGGTCATGATTAAGTTTGTATTTACCTGTGATTGTACTAACAAAACTTTCAGTTTAAATTGGAATAATCTGTCCAGTTCTTCCTTCTGTTCCATTGGTTTGAAGCTCCCGGTTTATCACGTGAATTCCTGTTCATGAAAGGCCGTGAGCTTTTTGCTGTCAAATTTCATCCTGTTTCTGTTACACCGGTTCTAATTATTGTGTAGGATTTGCTGTGGGTTTTCTAAGATGTTCTGATCTCGCCTCATCTGGATGATCTTTCTCTACTCGGATAATCAGCATATTCAGCGTCTTTGTGGTGAGAGGTCTAGAACAAGTCTAAAGCAAGGCTGGCATCCTCCAAATTGTTCCATACGAAGCTGTCTGAGATATCTCACCTCAGGCTGGTAGCATCATTTTTCGGATCCCCCTTCGATACAGGCCAACAAACTGCCTGACGAGGCTGGCTGCTATTTTTCTACTGACATTCACGTTCTGTAACTTAACCCTTTTGTGCAGCACAATTCAAATACTTTGTCTTTGACTCCACTTTGGGATGTATTATTTGATACTACCTCCTTGTCTTAAGCATAAAATTTGTAGGATGAAGGTTTACGTACGTGGGAGGTGACTGTAAAGGAACAGAGTTGCCCAAGTGATTTGCCTTTCTCTGTCTTTACAACCACCTTTTCTAAAACATTTGCCATGCACTTGTCTGTACCACCACACTACCATCCTGACGTGATAACTTATAGAATCATGGAATGGTTTGAGTTGGAAGGGACCTCAAAGATCATCCCGTTCCAACCCCCCTGCCATGGGCAGGGACACCCTCCACTACACCACGTTGCCCAAAGCCCCATCCAACCTGGCCCTGAACTTATTTAATAATAATTAGCAATAAATGTTTTCCTCCTAGACTTGGTAGTTTGAACCATA